GGGAGTTCTTTTTCTCCTAAAAGATCCGTTCTTCCCTGTATAGCTATCCCCAACTCACATCCGTCGCTGAAGCTGCATTCCCGACAGTTCACTATAATCTCTTACCACGACAGCGCGTCATCTTGACAGGAAATAACACTGAGGGTTTAGATACCATATAGTCTTAATCAATACAAAATCATGTCGAACATATGTGGAATTATCTCTCAATGTTTCGTTAATGCAGCAGAAGGGAGCAGACTACAGAAAGGAAAGTCAAGGTTCTGTAACGGTACTGATCGCAAAAACATGTCGAGAAAATGGTCTCACATTTCATCTATTGTTTCATCTATTTTGAGATTATCAACAGGACCACCAGTCCTGCTCAAGCGCTTGTTTCTTCCCGCCAGTTATTATGGCAACTCCTTGGTCCGTCGCCCCCACCCCACCCACTCCAACACCTTGAAAAAAAGTGACCGTTGTATCCGCGTACAGGTTGTTGTTCGATGATAATGTCTTTATTTTTCTTCTCTCCTCTTATCATTCATCACAAGATCCTTGACTTCTGCATTGCCATTTCCTCAGTCATCTTAGATCACGAACTTTCCATTCATTAGCAAGTTTTCGCCATGTGATAACTTGGGTCAACAACCTGAAGATTTTTTCTCTTTTTCTTTTTTCACAGTCATCTTCAGTACGCACTTCTAAGATAAGCTGAAATTCCACAACCTACGCCCACTGCACATAGAATATTCCTCGTACATACCTTACTAAACGAAAGGGCTTAATTGCAGATAAGGTTGACTGAACGAAAAAAAGGTCTGGAGGCCAAACGAAACTCCTCCACTTTCGACTTTTCGATGGTGACTGGCTGGAAGACGATTCTGTAAGGATTTATCAACATAGAACAGTTTCCGGACAGGATATTGTGACGTCATTAAATTGTCGGTGATGTCATTCATGGATAATGACGTCATCGTTTTATCCAACACTGAATGCAATAGTTCGTAAGTGACTTTCACCTATAAATATCACTTTTTATCCAACAATGAATGCAATAGCTCGTATGTGACTCGATTTACGTCGAATTACTCACAATATATCTTCCTACAGGCGGGAGACACGCGACCTTAATTTCCCCGTTGATAAATGGCTACGGGGGCGTTGTTGTGAAAATATTCCCATTTCGAAACACGCTGTAAGAAATGGGGAAATACGGTAACTTCACACAGTCATCTACAGTGCTAATGAAGAGGAATTAACAGGTTAATGGAAATCATTAATTCTAAAAAAAATGTGTTGTTGATATATGAACTGGAAGATCTATGGCGTTTCTTATCACAAATTATAATGAACTTAAATTTTCTTTCCATTGATCATTATCATTATTTCTTAACATGATCGAGACAGTAACAAAAAAATAGATGTAAAAATACAAGTGCAGTCGCTCAAGTGAACAAAGACAAAGTGTTACTCATTCACTTCCTACGATGGCTTTCACTCACCTTACCTGTCACGTGCCAATGCGCTGGACCTTCATCAGCGTACGAATCCCAGCCTCCCGATATCCTCACAGTGTTATATTAAACGTCCTTGTAGCTATCCATGTCTACTCTTGCCTTGTTACACAATAGCCTCTGTATACCTGCCGTGGGATGGAAGTGTTTATTCTCCTAACCACGATCCTGCGTTTCTGTTTAATGGTTCATAAGCTGTCTATCTGTCTGTTCGCCGTTCCTTCATTCCTCCCCTAAAGTGTAGTTTTATTTTAAGGTTAGCAAGATCATTTTCAGGGAGTCTGTTTTGTTTTAATGGTAATAGGAAATACGTAAAGTAAATTCTGGTGTAAAATTGATACCACTTTGAAGACTTATTGTTCTTGAAGTTTAGTGACATAAGATGTTGCGCGTATGTTAACAAATCAAGAAATCTTTAAACTTCAAGGTAAGGTATTTCAATAGTTTGATGGTTGTGGCAAAATGTCCTAGATTTTTTTTGTATCTTTCCTTTTGAAGCTTATTTTTCGGGGCTAAATATCATCCTTTACTACTTGTTTTATACGAATCAACCCTATATCAAACCATAATAAGGGAGAACACTTAACTGTGAGATTGGACAAAGCCAAGATTTGATATATATGACAAAATTCAAATTTACAGTCAAAACCACAAAAAGCCGGTTTTTGATGGTTAGAAAAGAGGTAAATATGGCGTCAGAATATTGCTGGCATTGCACTAAAATGTAAGCATGATATTTTAAACCCGAACAATTCTAAACTACTTTCAAAGCGACTGTTAATCAGGAGAAGCATTAATTCAGAAGTGCCAAGACAGCTGAAGTAACTGGGAGTGTCCTGAAGACTTGATGATGTCATCAAATGTCCTGATGTCATTAATGATGTCATGACGTAATTCCATAGGATTTCACAGTAAATAAGAAAAGTAGAGCATATAAGTTCTTTATGAGACAGTGAACATCATTACTGATTTCATGTTTGAACAAAACTACCTTTATTGTTCATGGTTCCTGGGCTGCCATGCAGGCAAGGTCGTGAGCTCCGGTGCACTCACGTACGCATTTCATTGCAAGCACATCTGCGAGTGCGTGCGTTTCATTCAACTGTATGGTTGAAGTTCTAGCGGGACGCCAGGTTTGTCGTTTATCATTACAAGAAAATGCTGGCCCTTGGCCCCTAAAAGGCTGATCATCAGCTCTTAATGTATTTTCTGTAATCCTGGTCTTCTACATTCAGTTAACAATATCTGTACATTTTTTTTTTTTGTTGTTTCACATAACATTGATACGTCACACTATCTATACATATATAACCGTTATAATTGTATAGTCCTGCGACCAAAATCGACGCGAAAATCAAAACAAACCAGGCTTCTATGCCAGGTTTCCCGACATTCTTCTGTCTGTCTACTCTCTCTTCGGTAACTTGTTATCTAGATATCCCGGCCTTTGTCTTAGACTTCTATGAAAGCCATCGCCTGCGTGTAGCGCATCAGAGCATCAGACAGGCCACTCATTAGGCTACACCTCAGTCATCTCCCCCATAGTCTGACTCAAATGTACACCTCCTACTAATTCTAAGTCAAGGTATAAGATAGTTGTCTGCTGTACCCTACCATCTTGCTAGATGCAAGCGCCTGTTGGACTCAGTATCTGCCCAAGATACAATACTTATACATTCGACATATCGGCCAATTCTGCACCCCCTGAACACCACAGCCCCGTCGGTAGCCCCCCTAACAACCATGCCACGCCTTCAAATAAAGTCTCGCGGATCTCACGGATGTCGGAGATGTTTCCAATTTTCTTAGAGATAATCATGCCACAGTGATGGTAGCCAGGCAGATTTTGTGCCATTAGAGAATGTCAAAACATCCAGCAATTAATGTTTTGAGTTCAAAAGATTTTCAGTCAGATACTGTAGATAGAGTCCTCCTAGATTACTTCTGGGAAACATTTTTTAACTCCCTGTATTCTAGATGTTGGGTTACATCCAGTAAAGCATGAGTAAAAAAAAAATCAATGCAAATATAATCGCATAACTATTGAAAACGATGCTGCAGACATTTGCCTTTTCCTTTTCTGACCACAAGTAAAGATTCGTACTGTCTAAAGAAGTAATACCGATTGAGGCACTTAAGGACAGCGCCAATTGTTCTCTACGCCCACGGCTGCATCTCCCTCTGTCTATATAAATCAACAGCCTTTTTGATGCTGCCTAACCGTGACCGTATCATTAAGTCATTGTTTATTGCCTGCACGGTAATGAATATTATATATGTCCTACATAGTTCCATAATATATTTCCCTCTTTCCTACATAGTTAGTTGGCGCCGTAAAGTCAGTTGTTACTAAAGCCACGGATGTTACCTTCTGTAGCTTATGGGACTTGCCTTATGTGCTGTATCCCCTATATCCGTGTCTCCTATATCCGTCGAAGGTCGCGCAGCTTCTCCATATAGCTCTGCTGTGAAACGATATCAGGGAGTCAACAACTGAGCAATATATATTTCCTTCGGTCCATTGTTCCGTGTAGCCTCAAGTAGCAGGATTGTCCGGTTTCTGTAGTCGATGTTTTGCTTCAAGGAGAATGAATCCAGGGAAACTTCGTACTTTGCCATTCCATCCAGATTTAACTGCAATTTGGGGCAAAACCAGAAAATTATGAATATCGGTGTTGCGAATATGAATATGTAGACTAACCTTAGCGGAAAAAAACAGTGTGCATAAGAGTTTTCTGAAAATCGAGACAATAGTTTCGATATCCTCCCGCGTATCATCTTCAGGTCTGAGGAGGCTGGAAATAATATCCAGAATTTCAAAACAATCTTACGTAAGAGTCCTTAGTTTGTGTTGTTTTATTCTATCATTCTGTTATGCGGCGGAGCTTTGCCCTTCGTAGACTGACCTTTCAATAAGATTAGTTTCCCTGTCAACAGTGAACAGGCCGTGGACATTAACGTGATCGTAGGCATTTGTCTGTTCTATTTTTTATGAATGTGGTATATTATCCAGACATTATTAATGTTTGTGCAGATCCTTTTTTAACATTATTATTCTTGCAGTTGTCTTTTTGTTGTTCCATAATATACCGCATAAGTTACTGATGAACGCATTTCTAAGATAGCCCTTCGGCATTCTGACTTCCCACTCCCTCCCACTCACCCCCTTTGTACTCGTTCTTGACAGCTGAGTCTCAACGAAGGCCAGTCGAGGACATGCCGTTCCACCGGAAGAATGAAAGTTGCACAAGATTTAAAATCAACTTAGGATTTTCATTCTTAAAGTCCTTCATATCTTGTATGTAGACGGTGTATAGGTGATTTGGATGACTTGTTGTCTATTGAAAATTCTTTCAATATTATGATAGGTACTAGCACAATTTCCTGTATGAATATAATGGCTACTCTTAAATTATATATTCCCTAAGAATCATTTTTTTCAGCTCTAAACGGTTTAGTTCTTTACATATGCATAGGTAAAACAGGGAAGCTGATGGAATGCTG